ACATTTAGACCCAAGAATTATTACACTTAGACCCTTTTTTACATTTAGACCCAAAACTCATTACACATAGGACCTTTATTACATTTAGACACAAAAATCATTACACTTAGAACCTTTATTACATTTAGACCCTAAAATGCATAGGACCTGTATTATATTTAGAACCAAAAATTATTACAATGGGCCATCGATCATTTGTCAATCATGGCCATTATTACAGTTAGGACATTGCACTTAGGACCTAAATATATTTATTTATACATTCTTTCATAATGTATGCATGTTCTGCTGCCTTCCTTTCCCTTCTTTCACGAGCCATCGAAATTGTCATACTGTTGGAGTCTTGCGCTCTACAATAAGTTCTGAATATCCCTTGACCCGCGGGATTTGTCTAGGCCCCTCACCTAGGCCCATAGCACCAATTCAGAATCTGAATGCCAATATGCCAACATTCAAATCTTTAATTAATTTTATTATTATTTTTATACAACAGAAATCTATCGCTTACCAATTATACAACAGGTCTTATCTTACTCGAATTACAAAAGACTGCAAGATTGAGCCACCAACTCTGCTTATATCATTTATTCATTTAATCGAATCAAAATAGCATATACATGACCAAAATATAAACAATCTATTAATTAATTAATTACATATATAGAAAATTAAAATAAAATAATTATAGGTGGAAAATTACGATAGTTAAAAGCTTTCACATAGTGAAATTATAATAAATTCATAATTGGGCCTATATTTCATCTTCTTTCTAAATAAGATTACATTATTACATGTTTTAAGTTAATTGTCGACATCATTCCATAATTTAGGTTCATTGATCCTAATAAGAAATTGGTTTCTTCTCAGTCTAACAAAAAGGAACATTGAGTGAATACGAGTTCTTTAAAAAGTAATCATGAGTATTTACATAATTCTTGAATAATGAAAGTATGGAAGTGAGAAGTTGACATTAAAATGATTGAAACATAAAAGAAGTAACTTCTAATTTGTATAAATCTGTGATTTAATTTTTAAATATTTAGTTTCTTAAACGAAGGTTCTGATACCGATGCAAATGAAGTTAAGTTATTTATTCTAAAATAAAATTGCAATTTATCTAGCTCAGTGAAGAAGATGTGGTAGAACTATGCCTAAGCGAACATAAACCGGTTTATATATATA